GTAACATTGTCTGGGCTAATAACTATCCTTCTAGACTCGACAGAATTTACAAACTACAGAAAAAACTAGTACGAATTATGACCTTTTCATCCTATTCTTCACCTTCCTTGCCGCTTTTTATAAAACTAAAGATACTAAATATCTATCAACTATAATGACTTGCACGTAGGTATCTTTAACTTTAACCTAAATAATAATSAACTTCCTCCTTATTTCAAAGACTTCAATGTCGAAAATAACAGCTTTCATAATTATMATACAAGAAACAATAAAAAATTACACAAAAAATCAATAAGGACAAATTATGCAAAATTTTCTACCAGAAACAAAATTGTTGATTTATGGAATTCTTTACCTGATTTAATTAAACTATCAAAGTCTACTCATATATTCAAAAAGAGACTAAAAGAACATTGATCTTTTCCTTAAATCATTAAAAGAATGATTATTAGTACCTTAATTTATATATCATATCATCATAATAAAAAGAAAGATTTAATTAAAACCATATAGTGATAATACCATTGTATCTTTCTTATTTTATATACTCATGCATACTGATACCAGTTTAATTAAAAATAAGTTAATGTGAAGGGGGAGGCTTCTAATGCTCTCCTCACATTTCAGACATAAATTAGACAGATTTTTAATTATTATTTTAATAGTATAAATATGTAAATTATGTGAAATGTGAAATAAAGATTGACAAAAATTGACAAAATTGGGTAAAAGACTTTTCATCCATGCTTGCATACAGTGTGCGCAGAATGCAGTTTGCCACATTTCGCAGTACTTAATGAATGTCTTTAGACACTACTATGCAAGTAACTAACTTTTGTAGGTATTTCTTGACCTGTCTAAAACGCATTGAGCCGTGATAATCCCATACATTCTTACCAATTTTCGTTTGCTCGTATTTCTGTTAAAAAGCATTATTTTGGCTCGAAATTTCGCAATAATACTTTAATTGAGATGTTCTATCGAGGAAAATAATAATATTTCGCTAATTTGGCCTCTAAATAGCATTTTTAGAATATCACGTGATTATGAGCTTGGGCTACCTGTGGACAATTTGTGACTGATAAGCGACGACAAAGAAAAATAAGAAGCCCGAAATTTAAACTCTGGGTTCCACAGGAACCCCGAGTAATGAACTGTGTCTTMAGAAGAAAACTAAAGTAAGCTATAGCCCTGTAAATAACATTAAGCAGGTAGACGCAATTAAGTTACTASGTATCACCTTCCAAAGTAATTCCAGATTCACAGTGCACATTAGAAATAAGCTGCTAGAAGCCAACAAGTGTCTTTTTGTTATTAGGAGTCTCAGAAAAGAAGGGTACTCTCAGACTGATATTGACTTTCTTTTTAATTCTATAGTTTTACCTAAGCTCACTTATGGGCTTAAAGTATCTATGCTGCTTCCAAACCTGAGCTAACTACAGTACAAAAKTTTCTCAACCGTTGCTACAAACGAAATAGGTACATTTCATACTTTATAGATATTTTTAAATTGTTAGATAAATCAGACCGTGCTATTTTTGATAAAGCCTCTAATGTTAGCCATCCTCTACACAATATTTTACCGAAAATCAAGAGTAAAAACAGAACGCTTTAAAGAATCTTTTGTAAATAGGCTTAATTTTAGACATAAATTATTTGTTAAATAGTAATATTCTCTCAATTTTTATAATTTTTATAATATTTATTGTAAATAATTAGATGTATGTAGTAATTAGTATGTATTTTTACTGATTAATAAAGACTTTATTATTATTATTATTATTATTAGTTTTCTAGACAAATCGCCAGATATTGTGCTTATGAAAGCTGATAATTAAATGTCAAGAAATAATTGATGTTTTCATTCAAAACGACATTTTTTGCAAGGTAGTTACAAATTGCAGTTATGAATTATTTTCCACGTCATGATCCATTGCGTAGCAGGCCACTTCATAAGTTCTTCCTGTTTATCGGCAAGGTCAAGTTCTACAACTTTAGCACGAATACTACCCCCA